CTTCATGTTCCTACTATTAGGAAGAATTTAGTTTCTACTTCTTTGCTTGTTAAGAACGGATTCAAATGTGTATTTGTTTCTGATAAAGTTGTTGTAAGCAAGAATGAAATGTATGTTGGAAAGGGCTACCTCACAGAGGGCCTCTTCAAACTAAATGTAATGGTTGTTGACAGTATGAATAAAATTGTAGCTTCTTCTTATTTATTAGAGTCAAATGATTTATGGCATATTCGTTTAGGACATGTCAATTACAAAACCTTGCGGAAGTTAATTAATTTAGAAGTGTTGCCTAAATTCGAGTGTAATAAATCAAAATGTCAAATATGTGTTGAGTCTAAGTTTGTAAAACATCCTTATAAGTCTATTGAAAGAAATTCAAATCCTTTAGACTTAATTCATACTGACATTTGTGATATGAAGTCGAAACCATCACGAGATAGGAAAAAGTTTTTTATTACTTTTATTGACAACTGCGCTCGATATTGTTATGTTTATTTGCTTAATAGTAAGGATGAAGCAATTGAAGCGTTTAAGCAATACAAGAATAAAATGGAGAATCAATTGAATAAAAAGATCAAAATGATTAGAAGTGATAGGGGTGGAGAATATGAATTTCCATTTGTTCGGAATATAGAATTATCCATCAAACTACTGCACCTTACACACCTCAATCCAATGGAATTGCGGAAAGGAAAAATTAGATATTAAAGGAAATGATGAATTCTTTATTAATAATTTCCGGATTATCGCAGAGTTTGTGGGGAGAATCTATCCTTACAGCTAACCGAATACTCAACAGAGTACCCCACAGCAAAACGCAATCTATTCCATATGAAAAATGAAAAGGAAGAAAACCCAATTTGAAATATTTCAAAGTGTGGGGGTGTCTAGCAAAGGTACAAGTTCCTTTACCTAAAAGGGTTAAAATCGGACCAAAAAATGTTGATTGCGTTTTCATTGGATATGCTACAAACAGTAAAGCATATCAGTTTTTGGTTCATAAATCCGATAATCCTGAAATTCACGTTAATACGGTAATGGAATCAGATAATGTTGAATGTGAGTCGTTAAATGAAAGACCTAAACGACCTCGGGAAGAACCAAAGGAAAATACTCCAAGTATAGAAGATCCAAGGCGTAGCAAACGTCAAAGAACATCTACTTCCTTTGGACCAGATTTTGTGACATTCTTGCTTGAAAATGAGCCTCAAACTTTTAAAGCAGCTATGTCATCTTCTGATTCAGCGTTTTGGAAAGAGGCAGTCAATAGTGAGATTCAATCAATTTTGGATAACCATACATGGGAATTGGTAGATCTTCCTCCGGGAAATAAGCCTTTAGGTTCGAAATGGATCTTTAAACGGAAAGTGAAAGCTGATGGCACTATTGACAAATATAAGGCAAGACTTGTTGTCAAAGGTTATAGACAAAAGGAAGGCCTTGATTACTTTGACACTTACTCGCCAGTAACGAGGATAACATCTATTAGGGTGTTAGTGGCAATAGCGGCCGTGTATGGTCTTGAAATCCATCAAATGGATGTTAAAACAGCTTTCTTAAATGGAGAATTAGAGGAAGAGATTTACATGGAACAACCTGAGGGTTTTGTGGTAACTGGTAAAGAAAATAAGGTGTGCAAACTTGTTAAGTCGCTTTATGGACTTAAACAAGCACCCAAACAATGGCATGCCAAATTTGACCAAACAATGTTGGCAAGTGGGTTTAAAATTAATGAGTGCGACAAATGTGTTTACATTAAAAACACTCCAGGTCATGAAGTCATTGTTTGTTTATATGTTGATGACATGTTGATAATGAGCAAAAACATGGCAGATATAAATGCTACTAAGCGCATGTTGGCTAGCAAATTCGATATGAAAGACTTAGGAGTTGCTGATGTGATCTTAGGAATCAGAATTCACAAGACTCCACAAGGTCTAGCATTATCACAGTCTCACTACATTGAAAAGGTACTTGACAAGTTCAAGTATTTGGATTTCAAAATTGCCAAGACTCCAATTGACGTGAGTTATGCACTTCAAAAGAATGAAGGTGAAAGTGACTCACAACTGGATTATGCAAGAGTATTGGGAAGTTTGATGTATATCATGAATTGTACACGACCAGATATAGCATGTGCTATTAGTAAACTGAGTCGGTTTACAAGTAATCCCAATCACATACATTGGATGGCAATGAAACGAGTTTTGGGGTATCTCAAACATACCCAAAATTACGCTTTGCATTATAACAAATATCCCTCCGTGATCGAGGGATATAGTGATGCAAATTGGATCACTATATCATTTGAAGTTAAATCTATGAGTGGATATGTTTTCACGATTGGGGGTGGAGCAGTGTCTTGGAAATCATCCAAACAAACGTGCATCGCCCGTTCTACAACGGAATCTAAATTCATAGCTTTAGATAAGGCCGGTGAAGAAGTTGAATGGCTCCGAAATTTCTTGGAAGATATTCCATTTTGGCCCAAATCTTTGGCACCTATTTGTATACATTGTGATAGTCAAGCGGCAATAGGCAGGGCAGGGAGCGTTATGTATAACAGAAAATCTCGTCATATATGAAGAAGACACAATACCGTTAGACAAATACTCTCTAGTGGTGTTATCACAATTGACTACATAAAGTTAAGAGATAACGTGTCGGATCCACTTACAAAAGGCCTATCTAGAGAGGCAGTTGAAAGATGATCAAAGGGAATGGGGTTAAGGTCTAGGACTAGTCATCATGACGGTAACTCTACCTAGAAGACTGGAGATCCCACAAGCTAGGTTCAAAGAGATCAAACAAAGTTATGAATAACGGTTCAACATTGTCAAATAACTCAACCCATTCTCGTGATGAAGAAATGTTCAGAAATTGAGGTAAATCATTAAGGCTTTTTGATGAGTCAACAAAGCTTAAAGGTTTTTAATGATTTGCTAAGTCTGGCAGGATATGACCAGATAGTGTGTCTACAGGATTACATGTTTAGAAATCACATATGTGAGTGTGAAGTATAAGCCGCTTCAAGGGGAATGAAAGTAAAGGCCCATTCTCTGAGCACTCGTGAAACCAGGCGGTGTCCATGGCTGAAACGAACACAACCGTGAGAACCATAGATGGTCAAGGATTTATTATGTAACTTATGTTGTCTAGGTATACAACAAAGCTCGACGGTTCAAAGATATCAAATCTACTGATTGACCGAATATATCCGATATAAGTTCACTATGGAAAGTTCAAAGGGAAACCTACTTATCCAGATGCAATTAATTATAGCCATTCCCCATTCATGTAGGGGATTGTTGGATTTTAAGCTTGTGTAGCTTAAAGAAGGTGAATGAGAAATGGAGGAAAAATAAAATATTTGAGTTTCCCTTGGCAAAGGGACATTGTCCCATCTCGGAGGAAGAAAAGACTTTTGATGGGTATATATATAATTGCTCTTCTTCTAGCTCTTAAAGAGTTAAGAAGAAGGCAAGCCTCGCGCCACCATCGTCGTCGCTCGCTCGGCTCGGTTTCGGCTTCGGCTTCGAATTCGGATTCAGATTCGGATTCGGATTCGGATTCGGATTTGGTCAAAGATTGATTGATTAATCTTTTTGGACAAAATCCCTTTCAATTATTTAATTAATTAATTAATTAATAAAAATTTAATCCGGAATAACACATGACCCGCGACCCGGTTCGGTCATGCCCGTTTTCTTTTCCGGATTATTTTAAATATATTTTTCCGTAATATTTCAAACAACCCTGTTCCAACAGCCATGGCTGTTTCTGAAAGGTTGCAAACCTTTTCAGAAACAATGCCAGCAACTCTATAAATTGAGTTTGAATCCCAGAATCTTTCTTTACGAAATTTCTGAGCTTCTTCTTCTTCTTCTTCTTCTTCTTCTTCTGCACAAAAATTCCAGTGTGTTTTACAGCCTTCAAGTGGCTCGCTGTTCACCGGCGTTTTGGTACCAATACTCTGGTGAGTTAAATCGTTCTATCCTGGGAGGATATATTCCAGCACCTCGTGTACTTGAGGGGAATAATTTCCTTAAGGACACACTATGTATTCAGTGGGCTCGATTTATTCCTATACTGTTCTTTTCAGAATTTATTTCGTTAAATAAGTAGTACTAACTTTCTGTTTTATTTTTTTTAGAAAGTTTAATTGTTTATTACAGCAATACAGAATTATAACAATATTTTTATCTCTTAAGAACACTATACAAAGGAGATCTTGAAGAAGTTCAACATGTTCGATTGCAACCCCGTGAACATACTAATAGAGAGTGGAGTAAAAGTATCATAGTTTGATGAAGGAGAAAAAGTAGATCCCACATATTTCAAGAGTCTTGTGGGAAGTTTGAGGTACTTGACTTGTGCCAGGCCAGATATACTCTTTGCAGTTTGAGTAGTAAGTCAATTCATGGAAGCTCCTACCTCCACTCACTTAAAGGTCACTTAAAGCATACATCCTGCTGCTTTGTAATAGCTAGTTCATTAGTAGTAGATTTTTCTTTCATAATATTAGCTATTAGTAGTTTACTTGTTTTACATTGGCTTAGACATCTTGTAAAGTTTGGACCTATTTTGGGATTATACTTATATATTAACCACTAGGAAGCTAGCCTAGTGGTAAGTTTGCTAAAAGAACTAAAAGTGTTTATAAGCTAAAAAGTCATAAGCTGGGGGTGACTAACTTATGACTTATAGCTGATTTTAGCCTATAAACACTTGGCTTATAAACACTTTAGATATTTACTAAACGTGTAGATAAGTCAAAATATGCTTATAAGCCAGTCTAACGAGCTTATAAGCTTAGCCAAATACCTTCAAAAGAAATAACACTCTTTATTTTATAGACATCACTATAATATTAATCTCATTCTATATTTTCTTCGCGGACTATATTTTCATTTTTCTTTTTATTTCTTTTTATTTAGGAACCCCACAGTTGTGGTAAAAACCAAAATGCAGCAAAAATAATAATATAAAAAAGAAGCACATTTTGCTCAGTTGCATCTCCAACTGTGTAATATAATCGTATATTCTTTTTAAAATAAAATCATGTATAGTGGAGTCTTATTCAATTCTCAGAACATATATATGTCAGCCTCACTACCGTGGAGCAACTAATAATTAATATCTTTGGTTATTCTTTAATTCAACTTCTTTAATTACTTACGTCCTAACATGTGAGATTATCCCCAGTCTCCACACCCAGTTGTTGACAATACTCAGTATAATACTCAACCCTTCTGGCAACAGTCTGAGGGTTGCCTCCGTCACATTCAATCTGGCCATTAATGGCTCGAATGGTTGGGCCAAAACCTTGGCCAGAAGTAATGAGAGAATGGCAATTGTTCATCCAATACCACAGGGCAGTCTTGAAGGAAATAACAGCATCTCTAGCCACAATGTCAGGGTCATTTAAGCCATCGAATCCTATGGATTTTCCGGCAGGTCCATAGTTGAAGTTCCATGATAGTTGGATGGGTCCTCGACCGTAGTAGTTCTTGCCTGAGACACAAGGGTACTCTGTGTTGTTCTCATCACAATAGTCGAGTGAAGGACCATTTATCTCATTTATGAAGCACATGTCTGTATAAACCAAAACAGGAAACATCTATTGTTAAAAGATTTAAGTAATAATATATGTTAGATGATGTAAAGAAACAGGAAACCTCTATATATATTGCAGCTTAATTAATGATTATAAGAAATTTTATCTTTAATACTTAATAAATGACCTGATAGTATAAATACGTTCTAACATTGCATAAAACATAAACTCGATATACATAGGGAATATTGAATATTTTTATAACACGAAAGAGATTATACGTACACGTCCATTTTATTTTAATGAAAAGTGGATCTAAATTTGAAATTGGTACATGTGTACAATAAATAGCACATTTTATATTTTCATATTTACCAAAACGGATTTAAAAAAAACATACTTTTTTAGTTATATTTAGACCTTATTCTTCTTTTTGGTCCATTTCAAAAGAATTATCCCTATTTAAATTTGATAACGAATTAATGTATACTTTTCATTTTAATTTTAATGATAAGTTTTTATAGTTACACAAATGTTATAGTATAATTAAGATTACAAGTTTCAAAATTTTTTAAATTCTTATTTTATTTTTTAAATAACATTTCAATCATATAGATTGATATAAATTGAAACAGAAAGGAAGTATATTAAAAGGTCCAAGAGAAATCACAAAAAAAGAAAGCACAAAAAAATAAAAGCAAGCAATTAGTAAGAAAGCTTACGTCCAGTTTCATGAGTGACGTGAGCAAAGAAAGCAGCAATCTCACGCTTAGAATCATCGGTAGAACCCATAGTACCAAAATTGGGATAAGATTGAAGAGCTTCAAGGAACCTAGCCCTTGTATAAAACCCTTTTCCTTCACAGGTAGAAGCAGCTTGATCAGCTATTCCATTGAAGAATGCATTAGAAACAACATCAGAAACTGAACCTCCGTTACTTGATGTTGAAGCACTAAAACAAGGCCCTCCTTGACACCCTTGCCCGCAATAATCATTTCCAGTTCCACAAAAGCCCCATTTGCCGCAGCATAAGCCTTCTGCACATTCACAGTTTTGTGCCAAGATTGTTCTTGGAACAACAACTACTACTATAGCTAATGCAAAGAGGAAAATAAAATGTTTTCTTGAAGAGAAATTCATCTTTTCTTTAGTTTAGTTGTGTGTGGAGGGAAGTCTAAGAATGCAGAGGCATTTATAGATGGAGAATTAATTTCTATTTTTTTTTCTTTCTTTTTTTTCTCGTGAAGAGCCACTATTGTTGAAGTGTTCAAAGTTAGAACTATTTTTTCGAATGGGTTGACTTTTTACCTTTTTGAGTCGTATGTATATTGTCAAAAGGTCATTTATTAGCAAGCTTTTCCCTTCCTTCTTTCTTTATGTCTTTAAGAAAGGGAGGGTTTTTCACTTTTGAACTCATAATTTTCCTTCTAGTTGTAACGATCCGGTCGGTCGTTTTGAAAGTTGTAGCCCCGTTCCCCTATTTACTGTTCATTTTGTACGTTTTAGCTGTTATGTGACATGCCGGGTAGTCGGTTCGGGTCCGGTGAGGTTTCGGAATGACACACTTAGTTTCAAGGATGAAAACTTAAGTTGAAAAGGTTGACCGGATGTAGACTTAGGTGTAGATGACTCCGGAATGGAGTTTCGATGGTTCCGTTAGCTTTATTGGGTGATTTTGGACTTAGGAGCGTATCTGGATTGTGAATTGGAGGTCCGTCGTTGAATTAGGCTTGAAATGGCAAAAATTGGATTTTTTTGAAAGTTGGACCGGGAGTGGACTTATTGATATCGGGGTCGGAATTTGATTCCGGGAGATGGAGTAGGTCTGTGGTGTCATCTGTGACTTGTGTGCAAAATTTGGGGTCAATCAGACGTGATTTAATAGGTTTCAGCGTCGTTTATAGAAGTTGGAATTCCTTAGTTTCAATAGGCTTGAATTGGGGTGTGATTCGTATTTTTGATGTTGTTCAATGTGATTTGAGGGCTCGACTAAGTTTGTATCATTATTTAAGACTTGTTGATATGTTTGGTTAAGGCCCCGGAGGCCTCGGGTTGATTCCGGATGGTTAACGGATCAAAAGTTGAAGTTGGGAGATTGTTGAAGCTGGACTCTGCTGGTGTAACAGCACCTGCGAAGCATTGATCGCAGGTGCGAGCTCGCAAGTGCGGGCTGGGTTGCGCAGGTGCGAGTTTGGATGGGAGTGTACAGGTGGCCGCTGGTGCGAGGGAATTGCCGAACCTGCGTGACCGCAGATGCGGCAGGGGGAACCGCAGAAGCGGAATTGGGCAGGGAAGCTGGGTTCCGCAGAAGCGGCTTGGAGGCTCGCAGAAGCGAGTCCACATGAGCGGAGAAAGGACCACAAGAGCGAGGGATGCCGCAGAAGCGTATATTTTGTCGCTTCTGCGACACCGCAGATGCGGCTAAGTTTATGCAAAAATGAAAGTGCTGGACAGAACGCTTATATACAAGGGTTCGTGATTTTGCTTTATTTAAAACATTGTGTGTGGAGGGAAGTCTAAGAATGCAGAGGCATTTATAGATGGGGAATTAATTTCTACTTTTTTTTTATTTCTTTCTTTGTTTCTCGTAAAGAGCCACTATTGTTGAAGTGCTCAAAGTTAGAACAATGTTTTCGTATGGTTGACTTTTGACCTTTTTGAGTCATATGTATTGTCACGATCCAAATCCTAATCTGTCATGATGGCGCCTAACGTGCTACTAGGCAAACCGACATTTACGAAATAACTCCAACACTTTTAACAAAAAATAGATCTAAAGCAGTTTAAATAATAAAACTCCTCATAAACATGATAGAAAATCCAAAATACAACGCGAAAATTCCCAACATCTGGGTGTCACTGAGTACATGAGCATCTAACTATCACAAATCTGGAAAAATACTGTCTATCATAGTTTGAAACTATATACAATAAGTGGAAGGGCCGGGAAAGAGAAACAAGGTCTGCGAAAATGCCGAGCAGCTACCTCGAAATCTACGAAGAGTCAACTGCACAGTGAATCAATACCAACCGTGTCCGAAAATACCTGAATCTGCACACGAAGTGCAGGGTGTAGCGTGAGTACAACCAACTCAGTAAGAAACAAGACAAAATAAAGAACTGTAAGTAGTGACGAGGATCACAGTTATAGTTCAATTACAGTGATTTCAACATAGGAAGGTAGGCATGCTTTCAAGTTCGATAAAAGGTCAAAACAGTTACTTCATGACAAGTTTAAGTGCAACAGAATGTAATATCTTTCAAAAATTTCAAGACAGTGATACATGGCAGCTAAGTGTGACAATAATGAAATCAAATGCATCCTCTCTGGGCGACAGTCACTCAGCCCTCCCATTCACTCATCTCTCGGCACTCAGTAGGCACCTGCGCTCACTGGGGGTGTGTATAGACTCTAGAGAGCTCCTTCAGCCCAAACGCTATAATCCACACGGATAACTCACGTGTTGCACGGATAACTCAAGGGCTATTGCATAATATCTAGATCCGCACGGACAACTCACGTGCTATAGTATCAATATCTCACAATCAGACCATCGGCCTCACTCAGTCAACAATCTCTCCAGTCTCTCAGGCTCTTAGTAATAATAAAAATCAGCGCCAATAGAAATGATATAATGTATCAACAAGGAACAATAGAGACTAGATATAATATATAAATAAAATTATGACTGAGTACAAAACAACAATTTAGTAGATAATTCAACACGTACACGACCTCTATGGGTCCCTACAGTGCCAACACATAGTCAAAATATGATTTCTAACATGATTTGTAGTTCAATTTCTCTAATACATGGAGAATGTATAGATAACAATAGATTATTCAACTACACAGTTCCATGGAATTTTACCAGGTCACAATTCCTACGGTGCATACCCAGACACCCGTCACCTAGCATGTGCGTCACCTCAAAACCAAATACATGACACGTAATACGGGGTTTCATATTCTTAGAACCAAATTTAGAATTGTTCTTTACCTCAATCCGAGAAAATCTCTACTCCAATATACCCTTGCCTCATGAAACAGCCTCTGAATGCCTCGAATCTAGCCATAAACAATTTGATATAATCAATACGGGCTAAAGGAATAAACTCTAGAAGAAAATGCTAAGCTATTAATCAAAAGTCAAAAAATGACTCAAAAGCCGGCCCCCGGGCCCACGTATCGAAATTCGATAATAGTCACAAATCAAGAAAGCCCATTCAATCACGAGTCTAACCTTTCTAAATTTATCAAAATCCGACACCAAATCGTCATCCAAATCTCCAAATCAAACTCTCTAAGTCCCTAGCCTCAAACTCCCAATTTACACCTTAAATACACACCAACTTGGTGGGAAAATCAATGGGGAAGCAAGATTATTGATAAAAAATAAGCACAAAGACTTACCTCAAGAATCCCCTGGAAATCCTCTCAAGAATCGCCCAAACACGTGCTTGAAATGTTTGAAATGAGACCAAAATATCGAACCTTTGTTTTAATAATCTGTCCAGCACTTCCGCTTCTGCGGCATCGCAGAAGCGATATCACCCACGCATCTGCGGCCCATTCCGGTCCTGCGATCCCTCACACCGCTTCTGCGGACTCGCTTCTGCGAGCATCCAAACCGTTTCTACGGTCCCAGCTCATCTTCCCACTACCGCTTTTGCGAACTTCCTGCCGCATCTACGGTCACGCAGATGCGGAACTCATTACCGCTCCTACCATTTCTGTGCACCTCTTGTCGCACATGCGGCCACACAGGTGTGGAAAACTCCTCGCACCTGCGACCATCTACACACTCCCCTCCAATCTCGCACCTGCGCAAGCCAGCCCGCACCTGTGTGCTCACACCTGCGATCAAAGCTCCGCAGGTCCGGTTACACCAGCAAAGGTCCATCTTCAGCAATCACTCAACTTCAACTTTTGATCAGTTAACCATCCGGAATCAAGTTTATTGAAACTAAGGAAAATCTATTTCCACAAACGACGCCGAAACCTATCAAAACACAACCGATTTATCCCAAATTTTACACACAAGTCACATTTGATATTACGGACCGACTCTAACTTCCATAAATCAGAATCCCACCCCGATATCAAAAAGTCCACTCTCGGGCAAACTTTCCAAAAATTCCAGCTTTCGCCATTTCAAGCCTAATTCCTCTACGGTCCTCCAAATCACAATCCGGACACACTCCTAAGTCCAAAATCACCCAACAGAGCTAATAAAACCATCAAAACTCCATTCCGGAGTTGTTTACTTATAGATCAACATCTGCTCAATCATTTAAACTTTCAACCTTGAGACTAAGTGCCTCATTTTATTCTGAAATTACTCCGGAACCGAACCGATTACCCCGACAAGTCGCATAATAGCTATAAAGTACAACATGCACAGTAAATGGGGGAATGAGGCTATAACTCTCATAATGACCAGCTGGTTCGTTACATGTATAAGGAAAAATACATAAGCTACCCCCTAAATTATAAACCAAATCCCTCTTACACACTTTCTGACAACGAAAATTACCTTAAACACTTTTTTCTTGACCAATTATTCAAAACATATTTGTTGTCACGCACCAATAAGGTAGTGACACATGTCCTAATTCAAGTAAAAAAAGAAAATATAGAAAATACCCCCTCCCTCCCCAAGCCTCTCATCTTCTTCAAACTATCATACCTTCGGCTCCCTCTTCTATGGATGGCACCAACATCACCTCCATGGTTGCTGCCATAGCTATAATCAAAAGAAAAGAAAAAGGTCCGATCTAAATAACCACCTTCAATACAACGCCCCCACATTAATCATCGCAAGAAAATAATATCGTCATCGGAAAACAAAATGCCAATAACGACCCTTCTTTACCTGAAACTTTTTAGTTCTAGTTGATCTTCTGGGTTTTGGTTTACTAAATCTCTAAGCTCTCTGCCATTTTTGTATATTCTGAACTGAATTTTTTGCTCATATGTTACTGAGAGGATATCAATGAAAAAGTCTAATCGATAGCATTTTTTTCGAATTGGGTCTCCAGTTGTTTGCTAGTATGCCAACTGAAAGAGATGAACCAAAAAAGTTTACATTTTTAGCATTTTTAGAGATGTTGATGGATGGGAAGTGTATTTGCAATAT